GACAGCGCAAGAGAGGACCCCAGCCACAACCCTACCCAAGATGACTTAGCTGATGAGCCCTACTGTGAGCTGGTCCATGAAGCTGAAAATAGGCCCATGATGGAGAGACCTTCCTGGGTCACTGCATCGTATGACCACATGTATGCACCTAAGACCCAACAGCTGCCTGTCTAATCTACTCAAGTGAACACATGAACCCACACACACTATTCCCTAGCCTGATGCCTTCACACACACACACACACACACACACACACACACACACACACACACACACACACACACACACACCCTGCTTCACTCAGGATCTGACCCAAAAAAAAAACCCAAAACCCAAACCAAACAAACAAACAAAAAATCAAGTGATGTTAAGTTAGGCCCTAAAGAAAAACATGCAGTGAAACACACTGTGTTTGGGGAGACAGATCAGGGATAAGGGCAATTGCTGCACAAACAGGAGGGCCTGAGTTCAAATCCCCAGCACCTGCCTAAATTTAGGAAGTGCCACACATTGACCTCTAGCCTAGTAACTATGGGGACAGAGACAGGAGAACCTCTGTGGCCTGCTGGATGCCAGACAGGATCCTCATCACAGAGATACACTGCTGTAAGGGATAAGGTGACAAACTATAAAGGAAGACACCCAGTGTCCTGCCTGGTCTCTGAATATACCTGTGTAACTTCTCTTGAACACACATACACAATACACACTCAGAATAGGGCAGAGACTGTAAGCACGAGATGCATGATGTACAAGTACACCAGACTGCTCCACAGCAATCTGACACAAGTAACGGTGTACACACGTGACAAGTCCTGTGCAGAAGACACTGGACACCAGAGCATGGTTGGCCATTATTAGATGACTGTGCAGTTCTCTTGTGTGTGACCACAGTGAGCTGTCTCCTCCCACCACTGTCTCCAGGCCTGTGAGGAAGGCACTGTACTAGGACCAGTCAGGGGCAGGGACTTTCCAGGGACACATGGCATACGCAGTCCTGAGGTGTGGTGTGGCACATGGATGCATGGGGAGTGACGCTTGCTGTGGTAAAATCTGCCCTGTTCCCCGAACCCCACAGTCTGTGAGCTTGCCACCCCAGATAGACACCATAGAAACTGAGAGGAAGGGTTGAGGTGTTAAGATGAATAAAAATCTCCTTTACAGATTATGTCACCATCTACAGCAAGCCTGACCCCCACACCTATGCAAGCCTCATCAGGAAGTGCACCTCCCTGGGGCTGGAGGGTGAGTTCTCCACCCCCTTCATAGAGCTCCAGGAAAACTTCTTGAAAGACTGTCCACCCAAACTAAAGAATCTCATCTACCCGGTCAAGCTATTGTGCCAACTGGTATGGCTTCTGACCCAGCCACTGTGGTCCCCTTCTGTACAGGGAGTGGATACAACCAGAGAAAAGACAGAGTATTCTAGTTTGTTTCCTATTGATATGATACTTTATCACATGACCAAAATGCCTTATTAAGTGACACATCCCAGTCACAGTCCATCATTGAGAGAAGCCAGGGCAATAACTGAAGCAGAGACCAGGCAGGAATTCTGCTCACTGGCTGGCTCTCCATGGCTCACTCAGCTTGCATTTATATACAGCCCAGGGTCACCTGCCCAGGAATAGCACCAGCTACATCAATCACTAATCAAGGCTATGACCCAAAGATTACCTGTATCAAGTATGAGAGTCATCTTGATTCAGGTTCCTTCCCACTAGATGGCGCTATCTGCTGTCTAATTGTCAAACACTAACCTTCACAAATAACACACTTTCAAGCTGATACTCTAATACACCATATGAAACCATAACCTTTCCTTTCTTGCTTATCTCTAAGATCTCATGTCAATATCACATCAGGAACACAATATGGCTTTAAAAGCACCAAAAATATTAATTCTTTTTAATTCCAACACTTACAAAGATGAGTCTCTCAACTGTGGGCTCCTATAAAATTAAGAACTCAAATAATCTCCTCGAGGGAAGAAGCAGGGCACAGTCATAATCCAATATAAACAAAACCAAGTGCATCAGTGAAAAATTCCCGGGGTCTGACATCCGGGACTCACCACTTTCTGAGCTCACAGGGTCTGGACAGCTGTTCTTCCCGGGCTCTGGCATCCACAGCACACAGCTGGCCTCACAGGCTCAGGTCAGCTCTGTTCACACGCTCTGCTGTCCTTGGCAGTGGCCACATGCTGGGGACCTTCAGTGTCTTGGGGTCTCCACTGCGACTGAGGCTGCACTTTCTCCAATGCCCTCTCCCGGCCTCTCTCAGTCCAGGCCTCAGCTGTTCTCCATGACCCCTCAATCCTGCAGCCCATGGGACTAAAATAGTACCACCTGGGAGACCTCTCCACAGGACCACATCAGGCTGCCACCTGGAGATGCCCACTTGGGCCCGTGGACTACAGCTTCTGTGTGTGACTGTGAGGAAACTCTTTCCAGAAGACTTGGCCTCCATGGTCTGGTCTCTTCTTACTCAGAGCTGAGTTTCAGCCCCAGCTGAGGAGAAGCCATGGATTCTTTTTTTTTTTTTTTTTTTTTTGGTTTTTCGAGACAGGGTTTCTCTGTGGCTTTGGAGGCTGTCCTGGAACTCACTTGGTAGTCCAGGCTGGTCTCGAACTCACAGAGACCCGCCTGCCTCTGCCTCCCGAGTGCTGGGATTAAAGGCGTGCGCCACCAACGCCCGGCTGAAGCCATGGATTCTTAATCCTAAGACCTCCCACAAACATCCCAGATAGACCCTTTGCTTCCCTCTGAAACTCCCACACCAGCCTCCGTCATCCGCCTCTCTACACTAGTATCTTCTGAGTTCCCACAAACAGCCCACTAGGCTCTAAGCACTCAATGGCTTCTTCAACCCAAAGTTCCAACATCCTTCCACTGTCCTCCCAAAGAGCAACACGGTGGGTGCGTCACAGCGGTCGTCCACTCTCTAGGACCAACTTCTGTCCTATTGCCATGGTAACGATGATGGCAGAATGGAAGTTGCTGACACTTCCCTATCACACTCGCTCACTGAGGGAAGTTGAGGCAGGAATCTGGAGGCGGGACCTGAAGCAAAGCCCATGGAGGAGCCCTGCTTTCTGGCTTGCAACCCCTTTGCCACTCAGCCTGCCTTTTTTACACATCTCAGGTCCCCAGCTCATGGGTGGCTCTGCCTACTGCGGGCTGTCCCCTCCCACACCAACCACAGATCAAAAATGCCTCACAGGCCCTTCCACAGGACGACGCCATGGAGGCATTTTAGTTTTTGTTACCGTCTTCTCAAAATGACTCAGGATGACAACGAGGAAAAAATTAGAACGGGAGGTGAGAAAATAGGTAATTTAGATGGAAATGGTGGGGAAGGACGCAGAGGGGAGGGGATGAGAGAGAGTGAAAGGGTGAGGGGAGACGGCGAGGCGTGACTTCTCCCTGTGTAGCTGCTGGGAGGTTCCTCAATGGGGAGAGATGCCCACAGTTGCCACTTTCAGACCCCTGTGTCTGACTGCCATGTTGTGCAGGGTCATGCTTGCTCCTGACTGTGCCTGCCCGAGAGCCCTTTGACCCTAAGCACTGGGTTCATCCCTGCTCTTCCTTGGGTGCCGTGCGGGTTCTGACTCACAGTTCATGCTGGTCAGGGAAGTGGCAGGGCTTGATGACAGACACTTTGGGTTTCCATGTCCAGTCTTTAAATTTGAGCTCTGCCCAAGGTCGGGTGCTCCCTCCTCTCCAAGGGGAGGCATTGCTCTGTCCACCAGGGGTTCGTTGGGCCCCCAGGGAGTCACTTCATCTACTCTCGATGGGTTCAGCTCTGAAAGTCAATTCAGGTCCGTGACTGGGGGCTGACCCGCTGTGACAGCCACTGCCCGCATCCTCTAGACATCCCTGTGGTTCCTTCTAATGGCCCATGGTGGCTCATCTTCACGGCCAACTTCACCAGCCTTAGCCCCTCTGGGCACGTCTGTGAGGGCATGTCCAGAAATGTCTGCCGACTGCTTCCTTCACTGAATAACACTCCGTAACCTGTGTCACCCACCTCCCCATCTGTGGAGTATTGTCTGGATTCACAGGAGTTAAATGATGTTTGAGAAGATCAGTTATCAGAATGGTTGACTGACTTCTGACCAGGTTACCAAGACACACAATGGGGGAGAAGGGCTCTTCTGCAGGGGAATTGGGAAAGCTGGATCTCCACTGACGGGAACAAATCCCACCCTCACCTGGCCATGTGGGAAGGCCATCAGAAATGGAAGCTGAGGATCCTAAGGAAACAGAGGGCAGCTTAGTCACGATGACCTCGGCTGTTCTCTTGGCTCTGACAGCAAAACCACAGGCAACTCAGGATGACTTTTTTACATGAGGCCTCATGCATACTGGGTAAGGTAAGAAGCACTCTGCCACTGAGCCACAGCCTCAGCCTCTCACTGGAACAGCCCAGACAAGCCCCTCCCTGCTGAGCCACATCCCTGCTCAGCAAGTGTCCTCACAAGGGGTCATTCCATCATGGAGAAATGGGATGTGGCCTACATGTCTTCCGTGGGCTTGCTTTAGCATGGGTTACATGATGGCTGACATGATGGGTGCCCTTATCTTGGCAGGACACATGAGGGACCCCTGGGCACTGTTTATTCAAATCTTCTCTGTGTACCTGGGGGTATCTCAGAAGGGGCAACACTGGAATCATAGACCAGTATCATTGTGTCCAGCAGGGGCTCAGATAGATCACAAGGCAGAGTGTGATGTGTGCTGAGGTCTAGGGACAGGTGTCTTCTTACACTGCGGGACACTGGGGCTCCTGGTTCTCAGAAGTGAGAACTGAGTGAATGAGGGGTAGGAAGATCACACACACACACACACACATACACACACACACACACACACAGAGAGAGAGAGAGAGAGAGAGAGAGAGAGAGAGAGAGAGAGAGATGAGAGAGAGAGAGAGAGAAAGAGAGGAGAGAGAGCGCTGTACTTCTATGACCCTGCCCCTCAGAATTCACACACGCTCATGGCATCTGCTGTTGATTGTTGTTGATCAGACACTGGACAGAACCCTCCAACAGATACACAGATGGAGTCAGGCTTGAGTTCTCCCCTCCCTTCTGAATCTCTTGTCCCCCAGAGAACACTGTCAAGGATGAGGCAGATGAAGCAGACAGTGAGGAAGGCTGGCTGTGATGGGGTGGGATGGAAAGGAGGGCGGGGTCAGGAGCCTGGAGTCTGACCCCAGGTTGGACGCTCCCTCACTGGGGCCTTGGGCGGCATCCTGCACAGAGGAACGCATCCCTGACTCTGGCGCCTCCTGGGCAGGTGCTGCTGTGCTCACAGGAGGATGCATTCCTGAGGCTCTTCAGCCTCTGCCTATAACAGAAAACACACAATCATGTCAGCAGCCCTCATTCCTCCTAGGTAGGGGATGTAAATCAACCCTGACGGTGGGTACCATTATTGGCCACCTGGAGCACCTCAGAAAAAGGGACATCACATCTCCATGCTGGGAAGATGGCCATCAGGACATCTTTATGGTTTAGCTTACTGAGGGTACATGTAGCCCCATCTGAGGGTCCCACATCTAGTCACCTGTCTGCTGCAGGACAGACCTAAGGGCACAGCTGCCTCTGTCCTGTGTCCCCTCTCACTTCCTTCCTGCCTTTCTGATGTTTGGTGTTTGGTTCCAACCTCCCTGCATTCCTGCTAACCTCCATCCTGAGGCCTCGCATGGCATCATTGGTTGCCTAAAATAAAGGAGATCCCTGACCCAGGAGAGGGAAAGTTCAAATGCAGGTTCCTCCACACCACTTTGGCTGTGACACAGCCTCCCTGAGTCCCATTGGCCTCATGATGGTGATGCAGGAGGGATGGGCTGCTTCCTCGACCTGAGCACCGGCTTCAGAGCCCACAGGAATCCAGCCCCACCTCTCCTTAGCTGAGCATCCCTGAGTCAGTGGTTTCAGCTCTATGGTCCTCCTTTTCACTCCTTTTCTCTGTATGTTCAGTGTGTGGGTGCACCTGTGTGTATGAGAGAGAGAGAGAGAGAGAGAGAGAGAGAGAGAGAGAGAGAGAGAGAGAGAGAGAGAGAGAGAGACTGTGAGTATATATAAGTGTGTGATTTGGCAGTGAGTCTGTATGAGGGTGTGTGAGTGAGTTTTAGAGTTTATGTAAGTGACAGCATGTGTAAGTATACAAGTGTGAGTGTGTGTTAGTGTTGTGTGTGTGAGTGCATGTCTGCTTGTGCATGTCAGAGGGAAACTTGGAGGAGTTGGTCTCTCATTCTAACACAGGCTTCTAGGGATCAAACCCAGGTCACCAGTGTTGGCAGCACATGCTTTACCCACTGCGCCATCTTCCCAGCCTGGGAAATCTCTGAATGACGCTAAGATGTCTGTAAAACGAGGGGAGCAGCTGGACTCCCTAGGACTGTGGAGAGCTTTAGCAAAAGACCACATCTTTGTAGGAATAGTCTCCAGACAGATGGAGTGACCAAAGCTGTAAGCAAGGGGACAGGATGAGGATAGGGTCTCACCAACACAGGCCAGGAGCGCACTGGGGACTTTTCACAATTCCTAACACAGGGGTACTCCAGCCAGGCCTTAGCCTCTCCTGCCAGCAGCCACCAGCCCAATGGATTCCCGCCAGCCACATTCCTTGTTGGGTCAGTAGGGTCCAGGATCACAGGCCTGCAGAGCAGCATTCAGAGAGGGAAGTGACCAGCTGACCAGTGCCCCAGGTGCCACTGCACAGGGGCAGTGGAGGAGCCCAGCAGAGCACCCCTGTTCCAAGATTGTCCTGAGTCCCTGCCCCTCAGCTTTGGGCAAGCCTGGAGTGATGCTTTCCCATGACCTGGAAGGCCTGGGCTTTAATCCTCTGTTCTTTAGTATCTGTGTGTTCTGGGGCAGGTCCTCAGCTTCTCTGATCCTTGAGATGGGGAGAGTTCAACCAGCCAGAGTCAAGGGATAAGGTGTGAGGACTGAACACAACACAGGATCAAGACCTGTGTCAAGTCTTCTGTGATGTTTACATCTTATTAATTCAACACTGACCTTCCAAGCCCCACCACCCTTATGACTTCTGTTACTGCTGGAACATCTTAGTTCCCACTCCATGTACCCCCTCCCTCTGCTGTTTGGGTCTGGACAAGGTCAGGCCTTGGTCTCCCCATCTGTAGACAGGAGAGCCCATCCCTGCCTCCCAGGGATGCAGGTCCTCATATCAATCAGGTGACAGCAGGACAGTGACCAGCACCATGACAGGACAGGAGATGCCCCATTGACACAGAGCTCCCACCTCCCCATTTCCACACTGCTGCAGCCTGGACCTATCTTTGGGGAGCTGAGCCATGAGGGGACAGGCTACCTGTCTTTTCCAAGCTGTCTGAGCAGGTATTTGGAGACCTCCCGGTCTGGTAAGTCATAATATACTCTCCAGTAGATTCGAAGATGACTGTAGTTGGTGACCAGTTCCAAGACTGTCCGGAAGCCCCGGGCTGTGTTGAAGTCAAGGGCTCTACTCCCATGTTCCCAGGCATAGACTGTGAGCAGCTCCAGGGCATACTGTGGGGGCAGCGGCTCCCTCAGCTTCTCCTTACACTGAGAAGAGAAAGGCAATGAGAAAAACGGGGCTGTCAGCTGTTGTATGGGGGACACTTAGCGCGGGGTCAATACAGCTCCCACCTGATTTGGGCATTACAGGTTTCTTGGCTTTCAGCTACAGACAATCCTTTAGACTCAGTCTACCTGGTTGATATGGGGACTTGTGGTCCACAAAGACCTAGCATTTACCGCCAGTCACAGGAGGAGTCATGACATTGAGTGACAGCCAGGGAGTGAGGGTGGGGGCGGGAGAGCAATGATGCTCACTATTGAAGGTTTCTTCACAGGCTCTGAAATAACTGGGGAGGGGCTAGGGAGATGGCCCTGTGGGTAAAGTGCCCCCCTCCCTATGCAAAGCTCATTTCTCCAATGGCCTCACCCTCACAGCCTCAGTCACAGTGGAGACCCCCAAGACACTGAAGGTCCCCAGCATGTGACCACTGCCAAGGACAGCAGAGCGTGTGAACAGAGCTGACCTGAGCCTGTGAGGCCAGCTGTGTGCTGTGGATGCCAGAGCCCGGGAAGAACAGCTGTCCAGGCCCTGTGAGCTCAGAAAGTGGTGAGTCCCGGATGTCAGACCCCGGGAATTTTTCACTGATGCACTTGGTTTAGTTTTTATTGGATTATGACTGTGCCCTGCTTCTTCCCTCGAGGAGATTATTTGAGTTCTTAATTTTATAGGAGCCCACAGTTGAGAGACTCATCTTTGTAAGTGTTGGAATTAAAAAGAATTAATATTTTTGGTGCTTTTAAAGCCATATTGTGTTCCTGATGTGATATTGACATGAGATCTTAGAGATAAGCAAGAAAGGAAAGGTTATGGTTTCATATGGTGTGTTAGAGTATCAGCTTGAAAGTGTGTTATTTGTGAAGGTTAGTGTTTGACAATTAGACACCAGTTAGGGCCATATTGTAGGAAGGAACCTGAATCAAGATGACTCTATCATACTTGATACAGGTAATCTTTGGGTCATAGTCTTGATTAGTGATTGATGTGGCTGGTGCCATTCCTGTGTAGGTGACCCTGGGCTGTATGAGTGAGTCTTGGCGAGCCAGCCAGTGAGCAGAATTCCTGCATGGTCTCTGCTTCAGTTACTGCTCTGACTTCTCTTAATGAGCAACTATGCCTGGCATGTGTAAACAATTAAGACCTTTCCTTCCCAAGATATCACGTCTATAGAAAGCAAACTAGAATACCCATCTTCCTCTCTCTAACTGTGTCCGCCCCTTGTGGACACAGTGCCTAACCAGATGCCATACCAGTTGGTACCAGTGCTTGACCAGGCGGATGAGATTCTTCAGCCTGGGTGGACGATCCTTCAGAAAGTTTCGCTGGAGTTCCGTGAAACAGATGGAGAACTCGCCCTCCAGCCCCAGGGAGGTGCACACCCTGATGAGCCTTCCATAGATTTCTGGGTCAGGCCTGTGGTTGATTTCGACATCACCTGTGAAGGAGGCTTCACTCAGTTAACACCCCAGCCCTTCCCTGAGGTTCTTGGATCTATCTGGGGTGACTAGCTCACAGACTGTGGGGTTCAGTGAACAGGGCAGATTTTACCACAGCAAGCTTCACTCCCATACATTCATGTGCCCCACCACACCTCAGGACTGCGTACACCATGTGGCCCTGGAAATCCCTGCCTCCAACTAGTTCTTGTACAGTGCCTTCCTCACAGGTCTGGAGATACTGTTGGGAGAAAAGAGCTCACTGTCGTCACACACAAGAGGGATGCATGGCCATCTAATAATGGCCAACAATGCACTGGTGTCCAGTATGTTCTACAGGGTGTGTGTGTCCTGTGTGTACACTCCTGCTTGTGTCAGATTCACTGTGGAGCTGTCGGCTGCATTTGTATATCATGTGTCTTGTGCTAACAGGGTCTCTGTCCTATTTTTTTTTTTTTTCGAGACAGGGTTTCTCTGTGGCTTTGGAGGCTGTCCTGGAACTCGCTTGGTAGTCCAGGCTGGTCTGGAACTTACAGAGATCTGCCCTGCCTGCCTCTGCCTCCCGAGTGCTGGGATTAAAGGCGTGCGTCACCAACGCCCGGCTGTCTCTGTCCTATTTTGTGTGTATTGTGTTGGGAGTTTGTGAGGAGGTACATACATATGTACAAACCCCAGAGGGGGATATAAGGCATCTCTTGTCAATTTTTAAACCCAGGACAAACTGAGGTGCCTATTTAACATACCAAAATGGTCGAAGTGGGCAGGTTGGTTCTCCCCACATCCCTGAGTCCCTCCTGGCTGTCATACTCCACCCCCTACCCTGAACTCTCCAGGCCAGAGGGCTGGGCTTCTCTTCTCTGCCTACTCCAACCATCTTGGTCACCCACCCCGTTTGTACCTTTGTCCTCATGGCTGCTGCACCTGGTCTCCCTCTTCCCTTTCTTCCTTTGTCTCCCCCTCTGCCCACATGGGCCAGCTCAGCCTGGACATGTCCACTCTGGACTCTCCCAGATGTCCCGGCCTCTGGGTATGCTCTCCATTTTATCTGCAGTAAACTTTCTCCTCCACCATACCTAGGAGCATTCATGTCCATGCATTTCCTTTTATTTCTTTTTTTTCCCATTCATCTCTCCTCATTGTTTGTCACTTTGTCCCTTTGAGGCAGGGTTTCCATGTGAATATGGAGCTTGGCTTTCTCTGTCCCCCATAGTTCTGGGGTTACAGGTCCATGTGTCACTTCCTAAGTTTAGGTGGGTGCTGGGGATTTGAACTCAGGTCCTCATGCATGTGCAGCAATTGCCCTTATCCCTGATATGTCTCCCCAGCCACAGTGTTTTCACTGCGTGATTTTCTAATTTAATATCATGTTTGTTCAGGACCTGAGAGCAGCAGGATACTGCAGGTGTGTGTGTGTGTGTGTGTGACAGAGAGAGAGAGAGAGAGAGAGAGAGAGAGAGAGAGAGAGAGAGAGAGAGAGAGAGAGAGAGAGAGAGAGAGAGAGGAGGGTTCATCTTGTAGAGTAGATGGGCAGCAGGTTATGGAATAGATGTGGGTGTGTGCTGTGTATGCACATCTGAGTAAGTTAGGCAGGCAGTAGGCTGTGTCTTAGCTGTGTACGTATATGTGATCAGGGTTGCCACAGGCCATACCATCACGATCTGATATCGACACAGGGCACAATCACCTGCTGATGGAGTTGGGGAGGAGACAAGTCATATTATGCAGTGTCCCATAATGTGCATATTTTCAACTTCAGAACCCGGCACACAGTAGGGCTCATCGGCTAAGTCATCTTGGCTAGGGTTGTGGCTGGGGTCCTCTCTTGTGCTGTCCCCCACACTGTCATTTCTAGGGTGGTCCTTCTGTGGTGGCCCCCCTTCCCCACTGGAAAGCTGCCAGGGGCTGAGGAATCCATGACAAGACAGGCTCCATGGAGCCCCCCTCCCAGGCCCCTGCACAGGTCTGAGGTTTCCTATTCTCTGGGAGAAGATGCATCAGTTATTAATTTTCAGTTTAAGTCTACACATGTTCAGAAAGACAAAATCCAGAGTTAGGCACCATTATCACCAGTAAGGGGGCATCTAAGTTGCCTTCATCCCCTCACTGAGCCAGTTTGCCAGACAAGTATGCGCCCACGCGCGCACGCGCACACACACACACACACACACACACACACACACACACACACACGCACGAGCAGGGGATACAGGCAGGTGGAAGGGCAGGCTGGGGCTCTGACCGGCTCACCCAGGATATCATAGGCCGGCAGCACATCAAACTCCACCTCCTGCTGGAGCTCAGGGGATCTCAGCTTGAAGTTGAGCCCCTGGGAGTTGGGCCATTGTTCATCCTGGATCTCAAACTGCAGTTGAAACTTTTTCTCTTGCTGTAAAGTGCACAGATGTTTCTTGATTTCCTGGGTGAACTCTCTCTTCCGCTTTAACTGATCCTCAAAGCTGGTGAGATTGCTAAAGAACACCACCAAGTTGGCATCCGACCTGCCCTTCAGCTCGATGCCTTTTCCAAAGGAACCACCCTGAAAGACAGTGGTGAGAATGACAAGTGACAGACAGAGCCACGCCCAGCAGGCCAGACCCCCAACAGCACAGGGGTCCACCACCCAGGCAGATGGATGGATGGAGGAGGAGAGCCAGCACATGGACAGTGGAATACCAGTCAGCCCTGAAGAGTGCAACCAGGATCTCTGTAGGAAAACAGATGGTTCTGGATCTTCTCGTGGTATGAGAGATAAGCCAGACTCAGAATGACAAGTGTCAGTGTTTACCTGTAGAGTCTATATTTAAGAGAGTGTGTGTGTGTGTGTGTGAGTGAGAGAGAGAGAGAGAGAGAGAGAGAGAGAGAGAGAGAGAGAGAGAGAGAGAGAGAGAGAAGGGGGCAAAGAAGAGGTAAGGGAGGGGTCTAAGGAAGTGAGGAACAAGGAAGGGTAATGAGGGGAGACAAAATAGCACAGTTTTTTTTCAGGTGGAAACTAGATTTAACTGCACTCATGTGACATAAAATCAGAGATGATTCTGTACAGGGGAGGGCATTGGTAGTGGGCAGAAGGTGACAGTTCACACAAACATACAAAAGGGTTGTCAAGAGGTTAGCAAAATATTAAGGGGTGTACACTAAAAGTACACCACATGGATGCACGAAGACAGCCTGTAACAATATTTAAAATAAATGTAAGCCGAGAGGTGGTGGTGCACGCCTTTAATCCTAGCACTCGGGAGGCAGAGGCAGGCGGATCTCTGTGAGTTCGAGGCCAGCTTGGTCTACAAGAGCTAGTTCCAGGACAGTCTCCAAAGCCACAGAGAAACCCTGTCTCAAAAAACCAAAAAAATAAAAAAAAAATAAATGTAAAATACAATTGAGTTTAGAATGACAAAAGTTTTTTTAAAAAACAGTATCAAGCAATACAGCAGAGCGCCTCCCTAAATAAAATGCTGAGCACACTCACTAACACACTTGCATGTCACACTCACTGACACACTTGCATGTTGGGTCCCAGCCCCCATGGATCTCTGTGCAGTGCTTGTCAGCTGATAACCACAGTGTAGTCCTGGTTTACAGCCCCAGCCTTGCCCCACTGACATCAACATCTAGCACGAGGAAAACACAAACTCTTACACTTGGGGTTTCTCCACTGTGCAGTACATCTGTATATAAGGCTGCTCCCTCCTTGCAATAAAGACGGCATCACAGGCAGGCATTCTCTTAGCACAAATGGCCAGATGTCTCGTCTTTTAATTAAATTTCCAGGCCTCACCGGATACCTCGGACTTGCTCATGGCATGGGCGCCACGCTTGCACACCCCACAGAGTAGAGTTGGCACACAAGACCACATTTCAGTAGCCATCACAGTGATTGTGACATACTGCTGTCATGAGGTGCCACTTGACAGATGGGAAACACAGGAAATGATGGTCCCACCAGCCCAGTCATCTGTCAGGTGGATGTTATTGTGTTCTGTTCTGTACTCTGTGCCACATTCAACGTCTGCGCAGTCCTGTGCCTCAGCTGTGGGGCACACGGGAACACTGGGACACAGAGAAGGTAGGTAACTCACTCCCCACTCAGCGCTGCAGCCTGGCTCCTCAGGGTCCTCTCCCTCCCCACCGGGGTCAACTCAGGCTGAGGGAGCTCACCTTCACCACCTTGGAGACTTTCACTTTATGATCTGCGCCTCGGAAGCATCTCTCCCTCAGGAATGCACACACGACATCGATGGCCGCTGTGACCTCAGCACGGAATCTGGTGTCGGGAACAAGCTGGTCCTCTATGAACTTGTCCAGCTCTGTGGTCCGGGTGCAGCTGAGTCTCTGTGCCATGCTCGGGCCAGCCGTGTTTTCTGATTGCAGCACCTGCCTCTGGAGCCAGCTGACCCTTATCTCTCTAGCTGGTTTCTTTCCCAGGAAGGGTGGGACTATGCAGTCACACCCTACATCTGAGCTCTATGATTTCTGGGCTCTGTGACACTCTGCTGTTTACCAGCAGGGCAGTTCTTTGGTTTCTCAAACCCTCTTGGTGCAGGAAGCATTTCCAACATATTGTTTCTTGTTTTTCCCTTCTTGATCTTCTTTTGCTACTCAAAGAAAAATGGTTTTATAGTCTTCTAGGTGGTTATCAGCAATCAACACGGTTTGCTAAAATATGAAGAGCGAGTGAGAAACATCCTAAAGATGGCAGGCATCCAGGCTCACCACTGCTGTGGTGGGTGTGTGGCAGGTACCACAGGTCCACACTGGATCATTATAATGAGTTGTCTGCCCAGGCCATGGCGGGCTTGAAGATGAGCCTTCAGGTCTCACAGGTCCCTGTGTTCTGAGATGCACACCCTTGTGGCCATCATCCAAGGCACCATCCACAACACCTCCACTGCCCTCTGATGCCCACTCCATCTTTCCATCACAAAGGATGAAGAGTCCATATCTTTCTTTTTGTGGGATCTCACTATGTTGTCAGGATAGACGTGAACTTGGGAGTCTGCAGCTTTGTCCTCCTGACCACTGAGGCTACAGGGATCTGTCACTCTGTCCAGCTGTAACCACCTGCATTATCAGTCAGTTGCCACTCTCCAGTAATGTAGAGTGTTGACTTATGCCCAGGATGGATCACCATGAGGGAGGAGCCTGTCTCCATGCCAACCTCTCCCTACCCAGAAGGAGTGGGTGTCCATCAGGGCAGGAGGTCTACACTTGTGATCCAAGTCCTGGGAAGCTGACACAGATGATGAAGAGTTTGAGGCCAGCCTGGGCTACATGATGAGACCCTGTCTCTACAAACACATGTGCATGCACACACACACACTCACCCAAACTCACTCAAACACACAAACACACATACACACACACACCCTGAATCCCTGTTGGAAAGTCTGCAGCGAGCAAGGAATGTAAGACTGAGGAAATAGCGGGAACATTGACTCTGCCCATCGTTATGGCCACAACCACGGGTGACTTTAAGGTATTTTATTTTTAATGACTCAGAAGCTGCGGCTGTGCCAGTCTGGTCAGAGGCCCACAGCAAGGAGTCCAGTCTTCATGACCTGGATGGTAACAGAGGCTCCTTGATGGACAATGGCCATGACTGAGGGAACTGTGATGCTGAAGGCTCTGGGCACAGATGGCAGGATACAAGGACAAGTGACCCATTGAGGGTCCTGAGTAGTTCTGGTTGAGGGCAGCGTTAATTATGCTTTAAAACATTTTATTACATTTATTTCATTTCTGTGAACATGTGGGGTCAGAGGACAACTTGTAGGTGTCCCTACTCTCTCCTTCCACCATGTGTTGGACTCAGGCCATCCGGCTTGGCAAAAACCACCTGTACCCACTGAGCCATCTCCCAGACTCCTTAAGTTTGAGAAGGTTCTCATAGTTTTATATGGGTTAGCCTACAACATACAGCAATCCTCCAGCCACTTGAGTGCTAGGATTGTAGTATGCCACTACGCCCAGCTCTCCTATACAACTTCTATGTCCTCCTGGGTATCTTAAAGCCATCTGGTATGTCACCCAGCCCAATGAGGTCAATGTCCATGGTCACCCTGACTGATTCGGGGAGCACCCAGGTCATAGGTGTAAGAGCCATGTCTTTAACCCTCTTGGCCACATGTCCCCAGCTGTTTCTGGGGAAGCGCTTTATCTGTAGCCCCTTGGGAGGAATGGGCAGGCTCTACAAGAAGTGGCTTGTGCCTCATACAAGGCAACATAAAGTGGAATTAAGAATCCTCCTGGCCATTTTGTAAAATAGTCTTTGAAATCCTCATTATATATGTTTTTTTTAATCAAATTCACCCTCCATTCTCCCCCCAACCTATGGTCCACCCATCTCCCCTCCCAATTTCATGTCACCTTTTTAGTGAATAAATCAGTGAATTCAATTAGTGGTGTGAGGACATCCACTTGAATGTGGGCAACCTGCCAGCCCAATGTCGAATGTCTCAGTCATACTCGGGAGCCAGCAGCCTCAGACCAGGGCCCATCCTAATGGCCATCATTTAGCACAGTTTGTTAATAAGATGCCACTGAGCCCTGAGACTTAGACCTCAGTCTCTTTTGGAGAAAGGCAGGCATGTCCCAGCTCCTTTGTGTCTCTCTGGACCTGCGCAGGCCGGTAGCCCTGGACCCGGCTGATCCTACAGGAAGTGCGGGTGCTAGGAGATGGGTGAGCGGGGAGGCAGCTGAGCTCGCTGCTCTAAACGTGAACAGATCCCCAGGGCTCGCAGGCCCAGGATGTGCCCACAGCACTGCTTCCCCCACATCTCACCCCAAACCTTGTACACAGCTCTGAACCCCCTTAGCTCCTTCCCCAGCTAAAGTGACCACGCAGACCAAGGAAGTCTGGTTCCTAATGTGGGCTTGGTCCTTGAAGAAGGTAAGAAAGTTGTTTTTTTTTTTTTTTTTTTTTTTTTTGGTTTTTTGAGACAGGGTTTCTCTGTGGCTTTGGAGGCTGTCCTGGAACTCACTTGGTAGTCCAGGCTGGTCTCGAACTCACAGAGATCCGCCTGCCTCTGCCTCCCGAGTGCTGAAGAAAGTTGTTTTTTAAATAGAAATTAGGGGTAGGAAACTCGGGCCTCTCACAGTAAAGGGTGAGAGAATAGAATTAATAAACGAGAGAACAGAATTAATATGGTAGAGTTGTTTTATTTAGTTTTAGTTTAGTTTTGTTTTCTTTTTAGTCTTTGGTCTTTGGGGGCCCATCACCCAGCTCCCTAATAAACACACAGACCAATTCTTACTTATGAATGCCTAGCCTTAGATTGGATTATTTATTTATTTATTTATTTTGGTTTTTCGAGACAGGGTTTCTCTGTGGCTTTGGAGGCTGTCCTGGAACTCGCTTGGTAGTCCAGGCTGGTCTCGAACTTACAGAGATCCGCCTGCCTCTGCCTCCCGAGTGCTGGGATTAAAGGCGTGCGCCACCAACACCCGGCTAGATTGGATTATTTCTAACAAGCTTTTCTACATTAAATTATCCCATCTACCTTTTACCTTTGGCCTTTTTTCTCTCTCTACTTTGTTACCTTTCTTTACTTCTTACTCTGAGGCTGGCTGTGTGGTGGCCCCTGGCTTCCTCCTCTCTTCTCCTTTTCTTGCTCCTCCCTCTTCTATTTCTCCTCCTATTTATCTCTCTGCCCACCAGCCCCACCCAGCCTCTCCTGCTATTGACCAATCGGATCTTTATTAGATCTATCAGGTGTTTTAGACAGGCACAGTAACACAGCTTCACAAAGTTAAACAAATCCAACATAAAAGAATGCAACACATCTTTGTATCATTAAACATTCCACAGCATAAACAAATGTAATGCACTTAACTAATAATGAACAATAATCTGTGCTTAAATATCCCAAGAAAGGGAAAAATAAAATCCATGTTGATTAAATTTAAAAAAAGAGAGTGACAGTGACAGAGAGAGAAAGAATGTTCTGGTAGACATGAGATGGCACCACAATATACCCTGCTGCGGCTTGTCTTCCAAATCAGCCACTTGGGCTCTGCCCTCCTATGCATCTGACTGGATTCACAAAGCCCTCTGGCCCGAGTCCCAGCAGTTGGAAAGCAAAGAGAGGCCCCTGCGATATCCTGAGTTTAATAGAATAGTAGGCGGGGGTTCTGTTGCATGAGCCAACTCAGCTGTCCCAGAACTTGAGAGTGTCCTTGTTGTTTGTGTGCCTGGTTTCTGTTGTGTTTAAATGTGTTCTTGTTTTTCCCCAAAGCAGGAATAACACAGTATTAGAGGTCTTTTCATGGAGAAAATTAAAATGGGACCAACTTCTGGAAGGGGAACACTTACAATTAGGATGTAAAGCCGGGCTATGGTGGCGCACGCCTTTAATCCTAGCACTCAGGAGGCAGAGGCAGGCGGATCTCGGTGAGTTCGAGGCCAGCCTGGTCTACATCGAGTTCCAGGACAGCCTCCAAAGCCACAGAGAAACCCTGTCTTGAAAAACAACAAAACAAAACAAAAACAATTAGGATGTAAAGTATGTAAGCCAGTACTGTTTATATTCCCTGGCTATTGGTCCTTTGAATGGCACTAGAAGAAACCATACTGAGTGAGGTAACCCAGTCACAAAAAGAAACATGGTATGTACTCACTCATTTATGACATTTAGACATGAATCAAGGGAGTGCCAGCATACAATCCCACTGCCAGAGAGTCTAGGAAACAGAACCTTCATCCAGCAATTGATGAAAGCAGAGGCAGATACCCACAGACAAACACTGAACTGAACTCCTGGAATCCAGTGACAGAGAGAGAGAACTGATGGGCAAAGGAGTTAAGACTGGGCTGGTTTAACCCACAGAAACAGCTGACCTGAACAAGGGGGGAGCTCTTGGACTCCAGATTTATGGCTGTGTGGAAAGCATGGGACTGACCTAGACCCCCTGAATATGGGTGTCAGTGAGGAGGCCTAGGTAATCTTATGGGGCCTTGGGTAGAATTTATCCCTGGCATACAAATAGACTTTGAGTGCCCACGCCACAATATGGGAGGCTCTCTCAGCCAGGACTCTTGGGGGGAGGGCCTAGGCCCTGCCCTGGATGAAATGACAGTTACTGGAGGCCCACCATGGAGTGCCTCACTCTCCTTGGGGATCAGAGTGGAGATTGGGTGGGAGGCTGGGGGACCTGGTGGGGAAGGCAGTTGAGGAGGGGAGGGAGAGGGAGCTGGGATTGACATGTGAAACAAGATTGTTTCTAACCTAAATAAAAAAATAATTTTAAAAAATTGACAGATCAGCCTTGTGTTGGTGGTGCACGCCTTTAATCCCAGCACTAGGGAGGCAGAGGTAGGCAGATCTCTGTGAGTTCGAGACCAGCCTGGTCTACAGAGTAAGATCCAGGACAGGCTCCAAAGCCACAGAGAAACTCTGTCTTGAAAAACCAAATAAAAATGAAAGATCATACTAGCATGATACTCCAGTTCTATAATAGTCACTACCAAAAATCTGATGAAGATTAAAAAAATACTTCATGGGTATTACCTAAAGTTGCATCTAAAAGTCCTACAGAGATTGCCCTTTAATGCTTTTGTACAAGGCTCTTCCAAAGGAGGAGTATATATTTTATACACAAGTTCCACCTGATATCCACTCCAGATTGTACAGTTCTAAAGATGTAACTTCCTACAGCCCATCAGCTTGTACTGGATAGTTCTCAGCCACTGGATATTTTAACTGACTCATGTATAAACTAGCACATGAGGATAGAGATCTCTCTCTGCTCTATGTAAACCCTTTATCTTAAAATTCCAATTGCTTGGGGATGGTCAAAAAACATGTTGTGTAAATGGAGTACTTAATTGGTCTAGATAATAAAGAGTCAGAGTCAGAAGTAGAGGGAAACGCTGAGAGATCAGAGAGAAGGAGCAAGCCACAGAACACTTTACCTCCCTAGCATCTGAGCAGACAGGAAAGAGATTTCCTGTTTCTCCCTGCTTATATCCTGTTTCTGCCCAGCTACCTCACTTCCTGACTGTACAGACCTCCAGACCTCTATGGTTAGCTAGTAGCAGGCTCTATTCTCTGACCCTCAGACAGGCTTGATTTGTACAAGCAAGATATCCCCACAATTTAGTTTAAAACTTATATCAAAAGGTTGATCATTAAATTGTACATACGTAATTTTGATTTGCTACAGTATACTACATACATGGTTTGACTCTCATTTAGAAAAGTGGGTGTACTACAAGATACAGCATAAAATTGATGTTTTCAAATGGCAGCCACATGGCTACCTCTATCTTAGCTGATGCTTCATCAGGATGAAAAGGACCATGTGCCTGGCATCCATCCTTACTAGGGATAAAGAGCACATGCCACAGAACTTCACCATTTGATCAAAGTCACACATGGTATAAAGCCTTCCGGTTATTATTATTATTTTTTTTTTTTGGAGACAGCATTTCTCTGTGGCTTTGGAGCCTGTCCTGGAACTCTCTCTCTCTCTGTAGACCAGGCTGGTCTCGAACTCACAGAGATCTGCCTGCCTCTGCCTCCCGAGTGCTGGGATTAAAGGCATGTGCCACCAACGCACAGCTTCCGGTTATTATTATATCTCCTTTTAGACTATGAAGGCAACCACAGGTCTCCCAGGATATTTTGAATTAGGGTGGATTTTTCTATGATGATGAATTCCTAAGGTTATAAATGTATACTCAGGTTAACAAAAGCTAACTTAGAGATGTATGTCTGAGGGCTTATGTCTCTGGCAACACCAGGCTTGTAGAAAATTTTAAATAAGTAACAACATAATGTGGATAAATAAGGACTAAATTCCTAAGTCTATTCAGGCTAGTGGAAACTAACTTAAAAGATAATATCTAACTTCTTTGTCTCTGCTACTGTATTAAAGTTTTATTTTTTGATTGGTTTAAAGTTTTATTTTGATGCTTCAATTCAATTGTTTTATTATTTATTTATTTTTGGTTTTTACGAGACAGGGCTTCTCTGTATTGTTTTGGAGGCTGTCGGTCCAGCCCGGCCTCGAACTCACAGAGATCCGCCTGCCTCTGCCTCCCGAGTGCTGGGATTAAAGGCGTGTGCCACCAACGCCCGGCAATTCAATTGTTTTAGACTCAAACTTAACAAGAGAAAAAATACAGAATGCTAACATTATAAAAGATATTAAGGGGCTGGAGAGATGGCTCAGAGGTTAAGAGCATTGACTGCTCTTCCAGAGATCCTGAGTTCAATTCCCAGCAACCACATGGTAGCTCACAACCATCTACAACTCAATCTGGTGCCCTCTTCTGGCATGTAAGCAGAACACTGTATATGTAATAAATAAATAAATCTTTTTAAAAAAGATATTAAGTAGTTGTACAGTGTTAAAGATAATTAAGATATACAAGTTAACGGTCAGCCATCCCTGTGGGGTATGTAATAAGTGCTTAATAACTACATCTAGTTGAAACATGGACACATACTTATTCTTCTGTGGTTCATCTCTCAAATGCATATGACATCTAACTTGGGAATCCATTCAACCAATAATTTTGGGGGACTGGTCTTAGGGTGTGGCTTCTGTGTGTGGAGGTGATCTCTTAGAGAAAGAGGAGGGGTCTCTCTTGCTCTTGTGTGGTAGCTGGAGATCTGATCACAGTTTCCACCAACCCCAGGGCAGAACAGAAGATCAAAGCAGCTGTCTACCTTACTGTTATTCATGAGTGTTCCCCAACAAATATTTGATTTCCTTTCTCTAGGCTCACATACCCCCAACTACAGGCATCTGCTGTGGTTTACTGTTGTTGATCAGTCATTGGACAGAACCTTCCAACAGATACACAGATGGAATTCAAGTTTGAATTCTCCCTTTCCTTCTGAATCTCTTGTCCCCCAGAGAACCCTGTCAGAGGATAAGGAAGATGAGGAAGGCTGACTATGATGGGAGATCATGGAAGGGAGAGGGAGCAGGGGTCAAAAGCCAGGAGTCTAACTCTAGGTTGGACACTCCCTCACTGTGGCCTTGGGCAGAGTACCTCTTCTATATGAGGTACTTAAGAGTTCAGGACCTTGCACATGGACACCCGCTCCCTTGGGCAGCATCCTGCTCTCTGGTGAAGTCCTGCACAGAGGAGCACATCCCTGACTCTGGAGCCTCCTGGGCAGGTGCTGCTGTGCTCACAGAAGGACGCAAGCTCTGTTCTCCTCCATCTGGGGATGGAGGGAAGGCAGTGCACATGAGGCCTACACTGCAGCCACCCCAGCATGAAGGCCGGAGGATGGCGAGCTCCAGGCTAGCCTGGGCTATGCAGAAGAAGACCATAAAACAATAAAATGAAACAAAACCAACAAAAATAAACAGAGGTTGCGAAAAAAATTATTCTCCTGGTTCTCCTGATGTGGCATGTCAACCTCCGTCTGCAATAGAAAACACACAATCTTGTCAGGTGCCAGAATTTCTTCTTGGAAGGGGGTGCAAATGAGCTCTGAGAGTGGGCACCATGATGACATCAGAGACACTCAGAAGGAGGACAGCACAGCCCCATGTTGGGGACATGGCCATCAGGACATTTTTGGGGGGGCTTAGCAGGTTGAAGGTGTATGTAGCCCCCCCCCCCAGAGATCTCAGTGAGTAACAGATCTGCCAAATGGAAGACAAGGCCCAGCCACCTGTGTGCTGTATGACAGTAGTAAAGGCCACAGCTGCCTCCCACCTGGGGCCCTTCTCATTCTTTCCTGACCTGAGGTTTGCCTCCCTCGTTCCTGCACCCAAACTAAGTGCCACCCTGAGTCCACATACGACATCATCAGTTCAGAAAGACTCCTGCCCAACCAGAGGAAAAAAATCCAAGTGCAGGTCCCTCTGTGTCTCTTTGGCTGTGAAACAGCCTCCCCACCCCCCAGTCCTATTGATCACATAATGATGAGAAAGGAAAGATGGGAAGCTGGGCTGCTTCCTGGACCTGAGCACTGGCCTCAGAGTCTATGGGATTCCCAGCCCCACCTCTCCTTAGCTGAGCATCCCTGAGCCAGTGGTTTCAACTCTATTGCCCTACTGAACTCTGTGTGTGTGTGTGTCTGTGTCTGTGTACATGTGTATATATTTTTGTGTTTGTGTGTGTACAATCTACAGAAAATGCAGTTCTCCTCAAGTGCTGTCCACCTTGGCATTTTGAGTTGTTTTAGACTGGAGTTCCCCAACTACACTATGCTCCCTCACCAGGGAGCCCAGGGTCCTGCCATTCATGCTTCCCAAAATTGGAATGTCAAGTTCATGTCTCCATGTCTGACTTATTTACATGGTTCTGGAGATGGTATCAGGCTCCTTATCCTTACTTACTTGGCAAGAGTTTTATTGACTGAGCCATATCCCCAGTCTGAGCCTCTTCTCTCATTAGAAAGAGATGGATTTTATTAAGTAAAACTTATAGAGCCCTAGTTTGGGTCCAGTGAGTCACTGAATGATAAAGAACACAGGACAGAGCCTGAACACAAAGCAGACAATCAGGGCAGAGGCTGTCATTCCTTAGGACTCTGGGTGACAGGGACGCTACAAGGGTGATGTGACAATCTGAGATCACAATGACTGTAAAGCAAGCAGTGTGGCATGAAGACCTACAATCCTGGGCACCTTTGTAATATTCTTGACATAGATGAAGTGACCCAATCTGTGTTCAAGGGGACAGGATGATGACAAGGTCTCACCGGCACATCCCAGGAGCGCACTGGGGAGCCATCCCAGTTTTCAAAGCATGGGTATTGCAGCCAGACCATAGCCTCCTCTGCCAGCAGGCACCAGCTGTTTGAGTTCAAACCAGCCACGTTCCTTGTTGGGTCAGCCGGGTCCAGGATCACAGGCCTGCAGAACAACATTTAGAGAGGGAAGTGACCAGCTGGTCAGTTCCCCAGGTGCCACTGCACAGGGACAGTGGAGGAGCTCAGCAGAGCGCCCCTATCCCAAGGATGTCCTGAGTCCCAGCCCCTCAGCATGGAGCAAGCTTGGAGGCATCTTTGTCCATGACTTGGAAGGCATGGGATCCAGTCCTCTAGACTTTAGTAGCTCTGTGTCCTGGGACAGGTCCCTCAGCCTCTCTGATCTGTGAGATGGGGAGCCTCAAAAATGGGGTGTTAAAGCCGGGCGTTGGTGGCGCACGCCTTTAATCCCAGCACTCAGGAGGCAGAGGCAGGTGGATCTCTGTGAGTTCGAGGCCAGCCTGGTCTACAGAGCGAGTTCCAGGACAGCCTCCAAAGCTACAGAGAAACCCTGTCTCGAAAAACCAAAAAAAAAAAAAAATGGGGTTTTAAAGCTAAAGACAACACAGTTTGAAGACATGCCCTTACCTTGGATGACAGTTTTACTGTATTGGTTACAGTTAATTAGTCTAGCACTGTTCTTCTATGCCTCACAGTCCTTATGGTACTGTTACAGCATGAATATCTCAGTTCCTGCTCCATGTATCCCGGCCTCCCTCTGCTATTTGGGTATGCACAAGGTCAAAGCCTTAGCCTCCCCATCTGCAGGTAGAAGAGCCCATCCCTGCCTCCCAGGTCTGCAGGTCCTCATGTCAATCAGGTGACAGCAGGACAGTGCCCAGCACAGTGACAGGACAGGAGATGCCCCATTGACCCTGAGCTCCCACCTCCCTATCGCCACACTGCTGCAGCCTGGTCCTCCCTGTGGGGAGCTGAGCCATGAGGGGACAGGCTACCTGGCTCCACTGAGCTGTCTGTGCAGGTATTTGGAGACATATTGGTATTGAAAGTCATAATACACTGTCCAGTAGATTCGAAGCTGCCAGTACTTGGTGACCAGTTCCAAGACTGTCCTGAAGCCCCGGGCTGTGTTGAAGTCAGGGAATCCACTCCCACGTTCCCAGGCGTAGACTGTGAGCAGCTCCAGGGCATACTGTGGGGGCAGCGGCTTCCCCAGTTTCTCCTTACACTGAGAAGAGAAAGGCAAAGAGAAAAACGGGGCTGTCAGCTGTTGTATGGGGGACACTTAGCACGGGGTCAATACAGCTCCCATTGCATTTACTGGCACACAGCCACACCCATTCATGTAGTCAGTCTGTGTATGTCCCTGTGCTACAGGAAAGGACTGGGTGGTTGAGACAGAGACTGTGAGGTCCACAAAGACTGAGCATTTACCAGCAGACACAGGAGGAGTCATGACTTTGAGTGACAGCCAGGGTGTGAGGGTGGGGGCGGGAGAGCAATGATGCTCACTATTGAAGGTTTCTTCACAGGCTCTGAAATGACTGGGGAGGGGCTAGGGAGATGGCCCTGTGGCTAAACTGTCCCCAGGCAAGCCAGGGAGTTCAGGTCCATCCCCAACATGAACATGAATGTCAGGCTTGTGGGGAAGCTGACTCATAATGCCAGTGTAAGTGGAAGGAAATGGGGTCCCCAGGGCTCTAGGGTGGTCCAGAGCTGCTGACTCAGCACACTGTGTGCTCAAGTGGGAGACCCTGCCTGGATATAAAAGATGGAGAGTGACAGAGGACCTGGCCTTGCTCTCCAGTCTCCACATGCTTATGCACACACGTGCACACACGTGCACCCACAGGCATGTGCTCCCAGGAATAGGCACACATGTATCCACACCAGATACGCCTCACAAACATATTAAAAACTCCAGAAATATTGCCAAATGGATGCTTAAGGAAAACATAGCTTGCTGGGTGGGGTTGGCACATGCCTTTAATCCCAGAACTTGGGAGGCAGAGGCAGGTGGATCTTTGAGAGTTCGAAGCAAGCCTAGTCTAATGAGCGAGTTCCAGGACAGCCTCCAAAGCAATACAGAAAAACCCTGTCTCGAAAAACCAAAAAAAAAAAAAAAAAAAAAAAGAAAAGAAAAGAAAAGAAAAGAAAAGAAAAAGAAAAAGAAAAAGAAAAGAAAACCATAGCTTGAAACATCAGGAAAATTAAAGCCATAGTAATTAACAGTGCATGCTTAAAAAACAAATAACAAACTAGAAATCCACAGATAAAGTTGCGTGTGATGGTGTACACCTTTTATTCCAGCATTAGGAGACAGATGTTGGCAGATCTGTGAGCTGAAGGCAAGCCTGGTCTACATAGTAATTTACAGGACCCTGTCTCAAAATAATGCAAGAAAGAAAGAGAAATCCAAGATCAGAATGACACTTGAACAATGAATTAGATGCCGCCGAAGAGTGACTTAGTTGACTGGAAACTGGACTAGAAGAAATCATCCATAGCAAGCATGGAAATTCCTCCTTCCTCCCAGGTCCTCTCTCCCCTCCTTCTCCCTCCTACAACGTCACCCTCCCTTGACTTCCCCCTTCACCCCTCCATTCTCTCTCTCCCTTCCCACCACTCCTTCCCTTCCCTCTTGCTCCTCATTTTCCTCCTCCTCATCACCCCTCCCGTTCTCCACACCCTGTGAAGATGGAGCCCACAGTGGATATTCCAGAGGCCATACCAGTTGGTACCAGTGCTTGACCAGGCGGATAAGATTCTTCAGCTTGGGTGGATGATGCTTCAAGAAATTTCTCTGGAGCTTCGTGAAGCAGGTGGAGAACTTGCCCTCCAGCTTCTTGGAGGTGCACTCCCTGATGAGGTCAGCGTAGATTTGGGGGTTAGGCTTGATGTGGTTGAGTTGGCCTGTAAAGAATCTTCATTTAACAAACACCCAGCTCTTCTCTGGCGTTCTTGGGTCTATCTGGGTTGACAGGCTCACTGGCTATGGGGTTCAGTGAACAGGGCAGATTTTACCATGGCAAACATCACTCCCATACATTCATGTGCCCCACAACACCTCAGGACTGCATACATCATGTGCTCCTGGAAAATACCTGCCACCAACTGGTCCTAGTACAGTGCCTTCCTCACAGGCCTGGAGACAGTGGTGGGAGGCAACAGCTCACTGTGGTCACACACAGAGGGATTCATGGTCATCTAATAATGGCCAACTATGCTCTGGTGTCCAGTACCTTCTGCACAGGGCTTGTCACGTGTGTACACTCCTGCTCGTGTCAGATTCACTGTGGAGCAGTCTGCTGCATTTGGACATCATGTGTCTCGTGCTTACAGAGTCTGTCCTGTGTTTGTATGCTGTATATATTGTTTGTGTGTGTTTGAGAAGAAGTGCACATGTATGTTTAGAGGCCAGAGGATGACATAAGGTGTCTCCCTTTATAGTTTGTCATCTTCTCCCTTCGCAGGGTCTCTGTGAATGTGGATCTTGGCTGGCATCCAGCAGGCCACAGAGATTCTCTGTCTATGGCCATGTAGGGCCTAGGTGATGGTCAATGTGTGGTCCTCTCTGTGTAGGTGGGTGTTGGGGATTTGAACTCAGGTCCTCATTGTTGTGTAGCAATTGCCCTTTTCCCTGAGCTGTTTTCCCTGTCACTGTGTTTTCTCTGGATGACTTTCAATACCACATAACTTAGTATCATGAGGCTTTGTTTGTCTAGTCCTGAGAGCAGCAGGGTGTGTGTGTGTGTATGTGTATGTGTGTGTGTGTGTGTGTGTGTGTGTGTGTGTGTGTGCACATTTGAGTAGACTACGCAGGCAGCAGGTTGTGCTTTAACTGTGTACATTTATGTGGCCATGGTTGTGGCAGGCTATACCATCAGGATTTGATGTTGGCACAAGACCAAATCACCTACTGATGAAGCTGGGGACACATCCAGACATGTCATTCAGCGACCCAAGGAATTCTCTCTCTCCTGTGCTTATTTTCAATTTCAGTGCACAGCACACAGTAGGACTCATCAGCTAAGTCATCTTGGCTAGGGTTGTGGCTGGGGTCCTCCCTTGCGCTGTCCCCCACACTGTCATTTCCAGGGCGGTCCTTCTGTGGTGGCCCCCCTTCCCCACTGGAAAGCTGCCTGAGGCTGGGGAGTCCTTGACAAGACAGGCTTCTGGGGAGCCTCCCTCCCAGCTCATTTCTGGATCACCCACTCTGGGCCCCTCCACTCTGCAGGGGTCTAAGCCTCTTGCAGCTTCCCACAGCATGCTGCCTGCTCCTACTCCCAGGCTGGCCTCCCTGTCCCGGCTGCCTGACATCTGTACTGTTTCCATGGCTCTCCTAAGCCCAGGGCAAGTGGTCTGGTCTCTAAGTTTGTAGCAGCAGTTCTCACAGTGGACAAGAGGGGGTGCTGTGTCCCCAAATGTAAAGCCCAAACTATTCTCTCAGCTCCCCAAGCTCCTACTGTGCTTTCAGGGGTGTTACTGGTTGTCTTTGGGTAGAGTTGGGCAATACAGACACACACACACACACACACACACACACACACACACACACACACACACACACACCCGAGTGAGGTCCTGAAAGCATTTTATAGCCACAAGTCCTCTCCTACAGACGCCTCCTACATGTCTAGGCAACCGTCCCGACCCCTGTGTGCACCCAATACACATGCCGAGGCTCCGGCTTGCCCCAGGTTCTGTGTGCAGCTGCATCCCAGCACACTCCACCTGACCCCAGCTGCACGCTGCAGCCGCCATGAGGGTGGGCCAGCAACCTCCAGATCAGCCTCTCAGCAAAAGCAGACTCCTAAGTGACAAACATCCAAGAGTGGACTCTGGTCTTCACCCACACCTGTAAACGTGAGCATAGATCTGTACACATGTGAACACCCCCTGACACACACACACACACACAGAAAGAAATGGCAGAGAGGATGACAGCTCTGACTGGCTCACCCAGGACATCATAGGCCGGCAGCACATCAAACTCCACCTCCTGTTGACGCTGGGGGGAGCTCAGCTTGATGCTGAGTGCCCTGAGGTTGAACAACCATAAAATGTTGAACCAGCATGCAATGTTGGACCAGCATGAACTCTGAACCTCAAACTTCACCCATATCTCCCTCTCTCTCTGAAAGTTGTAAAGCTGTTTCTGAATTTCCTGGATGAACTCTCCCCGTCGCTTTAACTGATCTTCAAAGCTGGTGAGATTGTTAAGGAACACCACCAGGTCGAGGGCTGTGCCTTTGCCCAAGGAGCTGCCCTGAAAGACAACAATGAGAATGACAGGCAGCAGAGCCACGCCCAGCAGTCCAGACCCTCACCAGCCAGGGGTCCACCATCCAGGCGATGGATGGATGGAGAAAGCCAGCCCATGGGCAGTGGAATACTAGTCAGCCCTGAAGAGTGAAATCAGGATCTATGTAGGGAAATAGATGGTTCTGGATCTCCTCATGGTACAGAAGATAAGCCAGACTCAGAATGGTGAACATCAGTGTCTAGATTTAAATATGCCTGAGAGAGAGAGAGAGAGAGAGAGAGAGAGAGAGAGAGAGAGAGAGAGAGAGAGAGAGAGAGAGAATGCTGTCTGTGTGTCTGTGATAGAAGAGGGACTATGTAGGGACCTAAAGGAAGTGAGGAGCAAGGATGGGTAATGGGGGAGAAAACAGCACATGCTCTCTGATGTGGGATCTGGATCTAGCTGCACGCAGGCGCCGTGCCATCAGAGAGACCTTCCAGGGAGGTCAGTGTCTGGGGTGGATGGTAGTGGGAGAGATTTACTGTGAGTAAATCAACACAGACACGTCAAATATTGTCATGATCCCATTGTTAGCAGACTGTCAAGGGAATACACCACATGCTGGCCTGAAGACAGCCTGTAACAGTATTGAAAAGTCACAGAACAAAAGCTTAAATCATGAGAGTTGAATTCACAAAAAAATCATTTTTGAGAAAATAATACTGAGAAGAGCCTCCCTAAATAAAATGCTGAACACTCTCACTAACACATTCGTACATCCCACAGGGTTGACATTACAAAATGACATTTCTATAGCCATCACAGTGACTGAGTTAGGTATCGTTGACAGGAAGTGTCATTTGACAGATGGGGACATTGGCAATGAGGTTGCAACAGTCCAGCCATGCAGCAGGCTGGCTCTCTGCTCTGTTCTATACCCTGTACCACAACTGGGGGGCACACGGAACACTGGGACACAGAGAAGGTGAGTAACTCACTCCACACTCATGGCTGCAGCCTGGCTCCTCAGGGTCCTCTCCCTCCCCACCGGGGTCAGCTCAGGCTGAGGGGGCTCACCTTCACCACCTTGGAGACCCTCACAGGGTGGGTGGCACCTCGGAAGCATCTCTCCTTCAGAAAAGTGCACATGATATTGATGGCTGCCTTGACCTCACCACAGAAGCTGGTGTCAGGAAGGAGGTGGACCTCTATGAACTTGTCCAAGTCCCTGGCCCGGGTCCTGCTGAGTCCCTGCTCCATCCTCGGTCAGCTCTGTCTTCTGACTGCAGCACAGCCTCTGGAGCAGCTGCTCCTTATATCCATAACTAGTTTCTCTTTCCTAGAAAGGGTGGGGCTATGCCAATTAGCCCTCTGCCTCTGAGGTTTATGCCTTCTGGACTCCCTGACTCTCTGGTGTTTCACAGTAGGCTGTGGACAAGAAGGAATGAAGCATTTTAAAGACATTGTCTCTTGTTCTTTTTTTTCCTGGTAGTCTGCTGCTACTGAAAGAAAAATGGTTTTATAGTCTCCTAGATATCTAACAGCAACACACACATGTCACTAAAACATGAAGAACAAATGACAAACAGCCTAAAGATGGCTGGCACCCAGTTTCACCACTGCTGTGGTGGGTCTATAAGAGGTGACTGCCCAGGACATGGTGAGCTTGAAGTTCAGTTTTCAGGTCTCACAGGTCTCTGTGTTCTGAGATAGCCCTTGTGGCCATCATCCAAGGCACTGTCCACTGCCCTCCAATCCCCCCATCTGTCCATCACAAAGGATGAAGGGTTCATATTTTTCTTTTTGTGGGATCCCCCTATGTTGTCAGGATAGACGTGAACTTGGGAGTCTGCAGCTTTGTCCTCCTGACCACTGAGGCTACAGGGATCTGTCACTCTGTCCAGCTGTAACCACCTGCATTATCAGTCAGTTGCCACTCTCCAGTAATGTAGAGTGTTGACTTATGCCCAGGATGGATCACATGCCAACCTGCCCAGCCTGTCTCCATGCCCAGCCTGTCTCCATGCCAACCTCTCCCTGCCCAGCAGGAGTGGATGTCCATCAGGGCAGGAGGTCTACACTTGTGATCCAAGTCCTAGGAGGCTGACACAGATGAAGAGTTTGAGGCCAAGCTGGGCATTGGTGGCACTCAGGAGGCAGAGGCAGGAGGATCTTTGTGGGTTTGAGGCCAGCCTGGACTACAGAGTGAGTTCCAGGACAGCCTCCAAAACAATACAGAGAAACCCTGTCTCGAAAAACCAAGAAAAAAAAAAAGAAAGAAATGTTTGAAGCTAGCCTGGGCTATATGTTGAGAACCTGCCTCATAAAACAGAAAAAAAAAACCCAAGCATATACAAATGAAGACTGACAGATGACAGACAGACAGACAGAATGACAGACAGGCACACAAACACACACACACACACACCCTAAATCACTGTTGGAATCACTGCAGACAGCAAGGAAAAGACTGAAGAAGTAATTGAGTAATTGAGAAATTGGCTCTGCTCATTGTTAAGGCCACAAGCCACAGGAGGCTTTAAGTGATTTTCTTTTCAAAGAACCAGAAACAGGAAGCAGTCTATGGCTGTGTCATTCGAGGTCAGAGGACCCCAGCAAAGAGCACAGTCTTCAGGGCACGCCTGGTAAAGGGGACCCTGACAGTGCCTGAGGGAACTGTTTTACAGAAGGACCCATGCAAGGGGTGCCAGATGGGAGGAGGACGAGAGACCAGCTGAGGGTCCTGAGAGGCTCCGGGTGGGGTCAAGCTAGTTATACGACAAACTATTCAGTTACGTTAGCTTCACCTGCGTGACCACGTGGGGGCAGAAGACAACTTGTAGCTGTTGTCTCTCTGCTTCCACCACGTGAGTCCCAGGATCAAACCCAGGCTTGGCGACCGACACCTGTATGCACTGAGCCATCTCACTGACCCTTTTTGTTTCGTTGAACAGGGTCTCATAGTCAGGCCAGGCTAGCCTTCAACTCACAGCAATCCTCCTGCTTCAGCACTCTGAAAGTTGGAAATATAGTGTGCCACTATGTCCAGCTCATCTGTATTTTCTCCTCCTCCTGTGTCTCAACGATTGTCACTCACCCAATGAGGCCAGTGCCCCAGCAAGCCTGAGGGAGCCCAGGTAGTGCTCAGGTCACAGGTGTAAGAGCCCAAGTCTTTGGTCTTTGACCCTCTTGGCTACATGTCCCCAGCTGTTGCTGGGACCACACCTCCTTGGAACTCCTTGGGAGGAAGTGACCAGCTCTACAGGAAGTGGCTTGTGTCTCTTGCAAGGCAGAATGTAGTGGCATTAAGAATCCTCCTGGCCATGTTGTTAAAAAGTCTTTGAAAATTTCGTAATATATATTTGATATATTTTTATCAAATTCACCCTCCCTTCTCCTCTCAACTCATGGTCCCACCAACTCCCCTCCCAACTTCCTGTCACTTATTTTTTTAGTGAATAAGCAAGTGCATCCAGTTAGTGCTTCTCATATTTACACAGGTGTGAGGCCATCCACTGGAATATGGGGAACGTGCCAGCGCCCACGCCCCTAAGGAAAACTGACTCTCTCTCTTCCCTGGTTTTTATGTCAACTTGACACAAGCTAGAGTCATCTGGGAGGCAGGAACCTCAGTTGAGTAATGCCTCCATAATATTGGGTATGGAGATGTAGAAGACAGCCTGATACCACGTCCATTTATCAAAAGCACCGTGGAAGGGGTAAACTAAACAAAGGGACCAGACCCTCACTCAGCCCCTCCTTTAGCAGCCATGACAGGCTACAGAAAAGACATGCAGGCCCCTGACACAAGGAAACTCCAGATCCTCTGTCTTCCTGCAGCCTAGGACCAAAACTGAACACAAAGAAACTCCAGACACCCTCCCCATAGCCTCCTAGATACTTGGTTCCTGGGAACTGTTTAGCCTCAGAAGAACCTCCAGGAGAGCCAGGCATGGTTGGCTCACATCTTTAATCCCAGCACTCACTCGGGAGGCAGAGGCAGGCGGATCTCTGTGAGTTCAAGGCTACCCCGGTCTACAGACGAGTTCCAGGATAGCCTCCAAAACAATCCAGAGAAACCCTGTCTCAAAAAAACAAAACAAAACAAAAAAACAAAGAACAAAAACACCCTTGCTTTTGCAGTTTAGTGGATCTGTCTTCCTGGTAGTCTCTGGGGACTTTGCAACTTGGACACAACACACCATAGTAGGTTCAAGGTCTGTGAGCTCTAAGCTAGGGGTTCGGTACCAGCTTGGAGTTTCCTCTTGTGGAATGGACCTCAAATGCAGCCAATATGTGGCCAGTGACACCCATAACATCCATCGCATTATTGTACCCATGGGTTTATCTTGCCAGGTCAGTCCTTATTGGCATGGCTCCCGGCTGGTTAAGATAAGGTGGTAGTCAATAACTGACTATTAAAAGTAGTAAAGAGTCCACAATAACTCTGCTCTGGATCTGTATACACCAACCCAATTCTCCATCACAAAATTCTAATTAGTGCCGGGCGTTGGTGGCACATGCCTTTAATCCCAGCACTCGGGAGGCAGAGGCAGGCGGATCTCTATGAGTTCGAGGCCAGCCTGGTCTACAGAGCGAGTTCCAGGACAGCCTCCAAAGCCACAGAGAAACCCTGTCTCGAAAAACCAAAAAAAAAAAAAATCTAATTAGTTTTCAGCCTTGCCGAGACTTAATACCACTGTGGCTTTATCTCTTTCTTCTTCTCCTTTCCCCAGGAACTTCAGTGGACAAGATCCTGTAGGAGGGCAGCAGGGCAGCTGACTCTGCCTGGGAACTGGAAAGTGTTCCCGAGTCTCTCCCCCAGGGAAGGATGTTGCCTTAGCCAAGGACAGAGGCGAAGGGAACTCCAGCCAAACGCAGAACTGGAACAGCAAGCGAGGCCCAGGGAACAGCCTCTGCAGAGACCCAGAGGGGGATAAACAGGAGACACAGCAAAGGGGCTGAGTGGGGAGAGGAGGACAGAGGAGATCCAGGGAGATGGCAAAGGGCCCCTTCACCCCTAGGGCTGCAGGGACAGAGTGCAAATATGCATGTGGCTGGGGGACAGTGGGGATTAAAGAGCAAAGTGGCTCTGGGTTGGAGACCCAAGGGCAAGACAGCAGCAGACTGGGCCCCTCCAGTGTCACAATGGAGACTCTGCTCCCGCCTCTGCCTTCTGCTGGCTCCTGCTGTCCACTCCCTGCCTCCTGCCTCACACCACAGCGCCCTGTGTGCACAGCTCTGCCCAATGTCTCGGTCACACTGGGAAGCCAGCAGCCTCAGGCTGAGGAGCTCTGAACCCCCCAAGGTTGAAAATATTACTAAGCTGACCCATCCTCGGTCGTGAGTAGCTGCACATAAAGATAGACATCCTCCCGGGTGGTCATCAAGGACTTGAAAATATTTCCCAGACCTCAGTCCTCAAGGACTTGGGAACATTCCCCAGACCTCAAGGTTCCAGGCCGGTCACAAAGTTCAGCCAGGGCACAGAGGTTGCCTGAGACAGATAACGAGCCAGTCAGCCACAAGCGTGCGTGTTTGCATGAAGGTCTGGCACCCTTGTACCCCATCCCCATTCCGTAGGCTTTAAAAACTCTCTGTAATTTCTGCTCAGGGTTCACTCCTTCCCAAGGCTGCTGAACCCCGGCACGGTGGCTTAATAAAAATCCTCTTGCGTTTCTCAATGGCAACGAACTTCGGCTCCCTGGTGGTCTTTGGGGCGAGATTCCTGAAAGAAAGACTGAAGGGTCTTTCAAGGTCAGGACCCATCCTAACGACCATCATTTAGCACAGCCCCATTTCTTAATAAGATTTCAACCTAGGTCTGAGAGCCAGATCTCAGTGTCTTTTGGAGAAAGGCTGGGAATATCCCAGCTCCTTGGTCCCTACCTGGTAATCCTGTACTGGGCTGATGCTACAGGAATTGAGGGTGTTAGGAGGCAGGAGGGCAGGGTGGCAGCCTGAGCTAGCTGCTTTAAACATGGAACAGATCACTAGGGGATCCCAGGCCCGGGATGTGCACTTGCTTCCCCAACATATTTCACCCCCTAAACTTTGTGCACAACTCTGAACCCCCTTAGTTCCTTCCTCAGTTTAAGTGATCACAGCAGACCTAAGTCTGGTTCCTAATGTGGTCTCAGTTCATGGAGAAGGTAAGATAGTTTTAAAAATATAGATATTAGGGTACAAAACTGGGAACTCTGACAGTAAGGGATTTGCAACCTTAATTGAGAGTGTAATTAATGTTGGTTCTTAAAGATGCCATGAAAGGGTAGATTTAAACCTTGT